AACGACGAGTATATGAAAAAACGATGATACAAGAAAAAAAAGGGTTTATTAATCTGAGATTTAAGGAGAAGGGTACATGATTTTTATCTCCAAGGGTATTTTAATATGCGGTTTCGAGAAAAGGGTTTATTACTTTCTTAAAAAGGGCATTTTTGATTCTACGGTGAGGGATTTATTGTTCTTCTCCATCATCAAAAGGGTTTTTTATTCTTCTTTCAAAGGATTAAACTTTTTCAACTGATGTATATATATATACATCATGAAAATTTCTCACAGGACACTTCAAACAGTTTAATATAATGAGCATGTTAATCCAATAATTTTCTCACAATGCAGCCATTCATCCATCGATGCACTTTTCATTTCGTACCTGTTTCGTAAAACATAACAATATGATATAGAGGCGCTAATTTTTCTAATAAATTTTGAAAAATTTCGAGCTAAAATTCAATCCGCACATTGTTTAAAAATCAAAATCAGACGGCTTCACGTGAGCAACTTCACACAAAACTTTGAGTTATATCAATCTGAAAGATATTATAGTAATTGCGGATTTACTCCAAACTCGCAGTGGTATTCGGAAAAAAAAGTTTGTTTTTACATCCCTCCAAGAGAACAAATTGAAGTAGGCATTTTACTTCAATACATTCATATTCTTCCTTTACTTGGTTGAAAATAAGCTCAACATAATGCAAGTAATAACATTTTAAGAATAATTCCAGGTCGCCTTTAATTTAGAGCAGTCGCCACAGCTAATGGAAAATAAGCGTGATTTACTTATATATTTATATCTTTTATTTTATTTACTTCCATTCAAAATGAAAAATGAAAACGGAAGTATTAAAATTTTCTCTGTGATTATTTCCTTCTTTTTATTTTCGTCCATTGATACAATGTATTCAAAGTGAATACATTGTTTCACATATGTCTTTATAAATCTTATATTTTTCTACCTTTAATTCAACATCAAACAAATAATGTAACTATAAAAATATTTTATAAATAGCGATTTCTTTTTTTTTCTATTTTGATTCGTCGAAACCATACATGGGAAAGAACTATGAAGATCGATTTCTGACATATGGGACAATCCAGTTAGATAAGCGCCTTAAAAAACGCGTTACAGCGAATATATATTTTGACGCTTTCATGTTATAAAACGTTAAAACATCTTAAAATTTCGTAAAAACGCCGTATTTATGATTTCATGTGTTTTGCATCTACATCTCCTAATAGAATTTCTTACGACCCACACCCTATACACCTCTCCAGACAAATATGTGTTATTTTTAACACATGTACTTATAAAGATTTAAAAGATTGATCAACAATTTTATAAAAGTATGAAAAATATATACGTTATAGATTTCTAGAAAAATAAGAAATATGTTAGAAAATTTTTGGAAAAATGGAACGAAACATTTTTACATCTTTTTTAAATTCTTTTTGAGGAAATATTTCAAAAACAAATTTTTCATGATTTATTTAAATATTTAAAAGAATAATTTTTATTTCCAAAGAAATAATTTTTTAAATGCAAAATATTGGTATTTTTTTATGAAAATTAAAAATGTAAAAACAATTGTTCCGCTTAACTTTATATCATCTTCAGTTTCCTATAAAGTTTCGTTTGATTTAAGTAGCATTTCTTACTTCATCTTGTTATCGTACGACTGGCCGAATGGATAACATCTAGGACTATCAACCAATTCATCTCATGATCGAACCTAGGACAACGCAGTAAGTTCCAAAACCTTAATTTTTAATCTGGTAGATAAATTCCAAAAAATACGTTGTGATGCGCATTATAAGCACAAACGAAAAAGAATCATAGTGTACTCATTTGTTTTTGGATTCTTTTTTCTGAAAGATTGTTAACCCGTTTCTTAAGGCGCTTGTTTGAATGGAAATTGTAATAAACCCTTTTGCGTATGGAACAAAAGTAATAAACCCTTTAAGGGTATATTAATATACGTTTTTTTTACAGTGAAAAGTATGGTACGAAACCTCTGCCACCTCAGAACCTTATGAAACGATTGCACCGAACTTTGTCTAGTACTAAACCTATAAAAGGTGTCGCAGGTCCATACCATAACTCTAAGGGTTTAATAAGGTACCACCAAATATTAAACGTTCCGTACAGCAGCTTTATTTTTTTCAGTGTAGCATACACTGGTTGCTCACGTCTGTAATAGTAAAAATATACCATACGGTAGTAACTATGATCTATAATCATAAAAAGACAGATTTTGAAGGCTACCTAGAAATAAAATCTGAATTATAATGATATCTACTTAGTGAAACTAGATTTTAATTACTGGCATGAGTAGTGGTGAATATTGACAATCGATCTGTATTAAAATTTGATCGGATTGACACACATCAATATTACTTTTTTCATTCATGTTTTATCCCTCTAATAGGGTGGGGGTACAAGAGAGTTGCAAAAACCTTACACTTAAATTTACACACTATTTTCTTCGAAAATACATGTGAGTTCCACAAAAGTGTTGCTACGTATGCTTGTTCTTATTCATTGAAGATTTTTCTGTAATGAAATTAATATGATAATGTGTACTGTACTATGAATCGTATATAACGTCTTAGTAAAAAAGAAAAATCTGCATAAATTTTCCCTAAGAATACCTATTTATAATTCTTATCAATTGAATCACGAAGGATAAATGTAGTTCAAGAAGATAAAGACTATAAAGACATACTTCGTTTCTTTGATGAGACGAAAATCTCAATCATAGTAGCAAGATGTTCTTTCAATAAGAAAGAAAAGATAATTTCATACAAAAAACCGTTCAAATGATGATGCTATCAATTTTTATTTTAAATTCAACAGTCTTTGGATGGTCTGTGCCTTGAGGAAATCGATTATCTACAAAGTATTCTCGGTATACTTTTAAATAAATTCATTTCAAACTACAGCACGCATTATAATTTATTAGGATAAATGAATAAAGTTATAAGTATATGAATAAATTGTGACATAGCAACCTAAGCTGATTATAATGAATTATGTGTCAAAAGAAAAAGTCTGCTAAAAAATATAGATAGATATTAAGACTATGCCAGTTATTGTAGGAATGATATTCCATAGCAGAGCGTTCTTTGTAGCCTTCAACGCACTTTGATAATCTTTTTCTGTTCTTAATCATTGAACTTTATTCTCATAACAACAAGCTATACATCCGAAACAAGAACAGCAGCAAATAATATTGAAAACAGACCAACATATATAAGTTTTAATATGATCGATAGACTGAGTTGGACTTGATTGTAGAATAATAACTGCTGGTGTATTTTGATATCTTGATTGAGATTGCTCATGCACTTGGATAGGATTTTCTGTGTTGCTGAATAATGTTCATAAGTAGGCGGTTTCTTACCACCATCATTTTTGTTCGCTTGCTCTTTTAATAGAATCTCACTAACTGAATCGGATGCAGAAACTTCATTGCCAGTATTTGCCATTATCTATGAAGTGGATTTCACAATTATTTGATTACCAACAAAAAAACTATTTCAAGAAAAATAATGATGTTTTGATCATTTATGCTCTCTTCCCTGTAGGAGGGGGCTTAGCACCCCTCAACTTTAATATTTAAATTAAAAGCTACAACAAACATATCTTAAAGTTTCATTTTCTAAAAAGTCAAAATTTAAAGTATATTTTTCAGAAAATCTTTCTTTTGATAAAGTTATTTTTTAATGAAAAATCAATAGTTCTGAAAAAAATTTTCCTTTCATGAAAAAATCTATTTGGACTTTAACTCTTTGAACTACAAATTTTAATCATGCTTCTTTCAACCAAAGTCGAACATTCCGGCCACCGGATCCCGTAAGATACTCCAGGAAATATGCGGGAAAGTCACCATATCTTGCAGGAAAACACAGGAAATCCCTGGAACATGGAAGCACTATTCCGGTCAAAAATACGGTCGAACTTTTCCGGTGGATTCCTGCCAAGTTCCGGTGCTTTCCGATAGGAATTGACCGGAAATCACCGAAAAATTTCGAACCGGAATACTGCTTCGACAAAATCAACAGAACTACCAGAAACCCGCCGTTTCCAGGTCGGACTGTTCGACCTGGGAAGCTGGCATTTTAACAAATACCTAGTTTATTAATCAAGCATAGATCCGGAACCCATACTCTTAGATTTGTAATCAAATTTTCGAATTGAATCTGGTAGCCGTTCCGAAGATATGGCATCTTCTGCCCTCTTTTGTTATGCAAGTAGAACATCTGCTAGCGTTCGTACTCGTGAAGAGCGACGAGCACGATTAAAGATGTATTTTCTTCTGTCTATTTATTCTTTAAAGAAAACAACCGTTTATATATGTATATGAAAACAGGGAGCTAACAGAAAAGAATACAAATGTTAATGAAGGTCAAAGAAAATAAGTAATAGAAACGAAAAGATACAGATAGAAATATAACAAGAAGAAGAATAGATAGGGTCGAGGTGTATGCAGAGGAATTACACCCTAACAACATCTTATATGTTCTTTCAACTATCTGATAAAGAGTTTTTAACAATTAATTTATAATGGGCTTTGACTCCAAGCGACTCGCTAGTAGTGTGCAGCTTCAGATGAAATAAGGAATGAATACATTAAAGTATTTACATTGTTTCTTATGTTAGACAACTTCACCATCGACAGCATCGGCTTCATTTTCACTGAATTACATGCATAAAAACTTTCTTGTGATCTGGCCCAATAAGTAAAAAAGTTTTTAATCTGGAGCCGAACTTGGATCCGGGCCATGTCATAAATAAATTTAAAACACATAACCGAAACCGGGTCCGGTGACGAGGAATTTTCGGACCCGACGGGCTCCAATCCCAGCACATATGAAATGTAGAAACTATAAAAATGTTGCTTTTATTTTGTGAGTAATTGTCCCATTACGCTGAGCGGTTTTCAATGTGGTGATTTACGATTGATTACTTGCTGTTTATAAATATTGCTCGTCTTATTCATTAGTCATACTTGAGTTGAATTCAGTATATGTAATGTAGTCATGAGTTGTCTCATTACTTTCTTAAATTCCTCACGGATTTCCGGTAGATTAATCAATGCCAAAAACGGTGACGCAAAACTGGTAAAATATGGCAGATAGTGGAGAAAAATCGTGATGAATTGTTCACCAAATGATGGATCATAAAAATCCTGTACTAAAATTATAAAAATCCAAGGCATCCAAGTTATTAAAGTCATTAAACTTATGGCTAATAATTGTAAAATCATTCGTCGACTTTTTTTCAATTTATTCGATACTTGTGTCGACGGTGACACTCTGTGTTTGTAGTTAATCACACGACTAATCATCAATAGATTGAAAATCAAAAGAACACAAGTTGGCAACATAACATCAACAATGGTGTCATATAAACCTTGAATAACAGCATCTAAATAACATGGTCCTCCGCAAACGAACGCAGCTAAGTCGTACGAATAATTTTGTTTACATGGAAACAGTGGAACAAAATAAACTTTAGTACCGAAAGTATAAAAGCAAACGAATCCTAATGGAATATAGTGAAAAAATAATTTATTTTTCATAATGCACTCTTTGTGAAATATTAAAAAGTAACGTTCAATTGCTGCATACATTGTTAGGAATAATGTGGTCGCTTCAAGATAATAATCCCAAAAAGCCCAAAATAGACACATTTTTGTTGACTGCACGTATCCGAGTGAAAGATAGTTCAACGAAAATGGTAGTTCAGTTGTAACCAATAAGAAATCACTGATCAATACGCATAAAATAACGTGATGATTGATACGATCAAAAAGCAATGTTTTACGCAATCGAATAAAATAATAAAAGATAACGAGAAAACAGATTAAGGATGGTATAGCAAATGCAATTAATAATGACATGGTAATAATGCGTTGCATTAAGCTGATTCTGGATGATATTTCTTCCGATGCTAACGAAGTGTTATATGTTTGATTATTCATAACAATCTCAAAAAAACATTATGGATTTGTACTGGTTGATAACAATGATATATCTTCCGTAGTGAAGAAGAAGAAGATCATTTCATTCAAATAATTCGGTAGAGCGTTTTTTCTGAAGTTATATAGCTAATACTTTTATCTTTTATGTTAAACCCCTACACAGAATAGAAGCCCATCCACTGGGTTAGATTTCTCCGTTGAAAATCAAGGTTTACTCCATGAAAATGAACTAAAACCGATGAAAAATGAAAGGATGAATATTTTTCTATCAAATAACGCAAAAACTGGCATCAGGGCATATTTTGTTACAAAATTATAGCTTGCGTCGCAGAGACACCACCCATTGGCTTCTATTCTGCAGGAGGGTTTTGTAATTATGAAAAAGTCAAAGTCAACGAACAATACTCGCCCATCATGCATATCTTGCTCTGTTAGTAATTCTATGAAGAAAACTATAGTCACCTACTTGTCTTCTTTCTTTTTAAAAAGAGTGACAGCAAGAAAAAAGAAGCAGTTATTTTTAACGACGAATAGCACAATATTTTAATAGGCTTTTCATTTAATTTGAGTGGAATCTAAAAAAGATTTCCGGTTTATGAAGGAAAGAGCGAGTTTCTTTTTAACAAAAGAAAATAGTAAAAACCTATTTAACTACCCAGGTCGATCAATCATATTGTAAGATCTGATAATATCTTGCATCCGATCTTATATGATCTTGCACGATCCTACAAAAATTTGACAAAAAATCGTAGTTTCTGAGATCTGAGATCAATTCGCACAACCAGATTCTTGAAAGGTCGCATTAATGTGTAGGATCATTCAAGAATCTGATTGGGCGAATTGATCTCCGATCGCAGAAACTACGATTTTCTGTCAGATTCGTGTAAGATTTCGCCCATATTCAAAAATCTTGTATGTATTTCATAAGATCTTATGTCAGATTTTTCGACCTGGGTATGCTTTTTTTATCAACTCATAAGACTTCTTGGTTCTCTAAGCAGATCAGAAGAAGAGTCATTCTGAAAGCAGGGACTTTGTAAATAAATATTTTTCTATTAAAATCCTTGATAGCTTTTAATTTAAAGTTATTGATTGATTACTAGAAGATAACTATGAAATCGAATGTAAATATCACTGTTAGAGAGTACTCTAACAAGTTATTTATTTACTTATTCTGATACGTTCTTGCTTCGTCTTTATAAGTTACGTATTCTCATATGTTCAATCCAACTCGAGATGCACATACGTCAACCGTTCTTTTTCATTCTTTCTTTCCTCTCTTCATACCTCTCTATTGTGTCTTCTCTCTTCCCGTGCGTGACGGCGTAAATAATAGCATCGTTTCTTCGACTAGAATTAGGTGCACCTCTAGAATGATGCGCCATCATCTTTAAATACAAAATATTCTAGTCAAAAAAACAAATGTCTTTTCTTTCTTTCTGTCTTTGTCTCTCTCTCTCTCTCTCTCTCTTGGGTTTATGTGCTGTACACTATAAATAGGAAAAAGAATAATAAAACAGATTAGGAAGGAGATTAAGATTCAGATTAGGAATCATGCACAGGAAATTTGTTATTGATCAGTTAAATAGAAACATAAATTTCTATTTTGTGAATTGATTTAAGTTACAGCAGGACATCTGTAACAGTTACTAATTTAAATAGTCAACCCTGTTTTAAATAACATTTGCTCTGTTAATCCTCTTCATCTTAGAAGCCATTAAAATTTTGCGTTATTTAACAAAATGGGTACTAGTACACTTCGTCAAGTTCACTTCGTCACACGACAGTTCGTCGCAAGACAATTCGTCGCAATAAAAATTCGTTGTGATAAGTTAGTCGTATATAAAGGAGAGAGTACATTAATTGAATTGAGGGATTTTGTTCAATATGTTATTCAATCAATCACGTAAATACACACTCTATGGAATTATAACTAGATCGATATGATGGATAATAGATTCGTTTTGGAAGAAGAAAATATCTAGTTCTGTAAAACAAAGTGCTAGAAACATTATTTAGTCCTGCAAAATTCTTCTGTGGCATTGCAAATAGGCTGCTATCAAATGAAACTCAACTCAAGTCTTTTGAGGAGACGATTTCTGACGAAATCTGGAGCTAAGAAACACCAAGAAGAAATGAAAGAAAAATGAACTCTCTCCTGAGTTGTAGAATTCGTTCAGTAGTTTCTAGGATAGTTTTCTATGATTTTCAAAGTTACTCGACTATTGGATGAAGTGGTTTTGGAAACTTTTGAAATGGACTTTTAGGTTTTCGACACTACGAACGTTAAAATTAAATAATCTGAATAAATTCTATAAGTCAATAGTATTCTTTTGATATCATTTTTGAGAGGTAACACATTTAAATTTAAAAAAAATATTACATGAGAAATAATTTTTTAAATTTAAATTTAAAAAATAAAATGTTTTACATGTAAAGCTATATTTTAATTACATTTTAATTCAAAAAAATAAAATTTATTATAAACTTAACTTCGTAGAATTTTAGTTAGAATTTAACTTTAAGTTTTGGGTAATTTTAATTTAAAAAAAATCAATTGTAAATTAACGTTTCTGTCATTTTTTGAAAAAAGAAGTTGTAGTAACAAAAGAGTGTTACTATTGCAAAGGAATACATTTATGAAGGTGATTAATTGAATAACATATTGAATAAAATCACCTAATTCAATTAATGTACTCTCTCCTTTATATACGACTAACTTATCGTAACGAATTTTTATTAAGACGAATTGTCTTGCGGCGAACTGTCGTGTGACGAAGTGAACTCGATGAAATGTCATACGACGATGTGTGTGGTCATAACAAAATATTACTATTAAAAATATTTGTTCACTACTCAAGAAAAGAGAAATATATTAATTTTGAATTGTCAATTACTAAATAAAAACTAAAACAATGTGCAAATTTCTGTTAGAGAGGAAGCATATTTTTTCATGAGCTATCAAATCTTTTAAATAATTATGAAGATTTTTTTGAATCAACGAATATTTCATGAAGAACCATTAGTACCCACCATCCCAGGTCGCTCAATCCCAGTACAGGAACCGAGGGAAACCTATCCGATTCGACCAGGAATCCAACGAAATCCTATCGAATTTCACACGGATTTGGCACAGTTCCAACAGGATCCTAATCTAGTAAAGTTTCAAAATCCGACTATCCAACTACCGAGAAATTCTAACTGTATCCAAAGCACCGACGGGCCCAAATTCCCATTGGAAAAATTCCCGTGAAATTCGCATCGGATACCATGCTAGCTTCCTAGGAAATTCCGACAGTATCCGCAACTAGGACTCATTCATATTCCGATCGCTGACAATTCCGATAAAAACCTCATAGGAAACTGTAGAAGTTTTCCGAGATCCCATCGTATCTTTTAAAAATCAGACAATAGGATCCTAATATGGATCCAATCAACAAAAAACATCGGGTTTCTCCAAGATCCTATCGAATCCAACAAAAATCTTCTAATTTCCGACATTCGGACCTACTCATATAATGGTTATGATTATTTGCACATTCGAAGTTCAAAAACACCCATAAATCTCTGCTCATATTCACACATTTCAGAGCCTCCCATACAAAATCCGACACCATTAAATATAAATCCGGCTGATTTTCACTATTTATTAGGGGTGTCAATCTACAGTTTATTTAATTTAAATTGAACTTCGCGAAAAGTTAATTTAATTTAAAATAAAAAAAATTGTTTGGATGGATACACATCATTGCTACGAGAAAAATAAGTGACTTTGGCAGTAGTAAATACTAAATGAACGGAGAACCTGGTATTTTAGGTTAGTGTTTGTTCATAATCGTCAAAATTTCTCAACAGATTATGCAGGATCCGTCATCTTTCTTCTTCAAAATACCGGAATACTCATAAAAATATATTTAATAGCACAATTCGTAGAAGAATGACTAGCTTTAACTTGAGAAAACAGTAGACATACTCAAATTTGACTTTAAATAGTAGCAATCAAGTCAAAAACTATGTTTATCTACTAGTTTTCAAAATATAACTGATTTGAAATTCAAACAATTAAATTTAAATTTATTGTGAATTTAACTTTTCATTTAAAAAAAATTAACTTATTGTAAATTCAACTTTTCATTTAAAAAAATTTATTTATTGTAAATTTACCTTTTCATTTTAAAAAAATTTAATTTATTTTAAATTAAATTTTCTGAAAATTTATTTCTCGATTTAATAAATTTTTTAGATTTAAATGTGACACCCCTACTATTTATATTGCCAAATTATACAGAGCTCACGAAAAGATAATTCTGCACTAGAGATGGTAGTTTAACATTAAAAACAGTTTGAAAAAGCTTGTTAGCGCAGCCCCTTTGGAGCTAAAATTTAGAACTCACATAGATCCTTAGGCTTACTAAAATAAATCAAAATAGGTCATCTGAAAGATCTATCTTGATTTCCAAAACCTATAATTAGGTCATTGTATATTTGGTTATGTCAGTAATGGAGTATTAATTGTTAGCTCGTATATTTAACAGTAGCACCGGCTGGTTTCTATGGTCTGTAATTGTACCCTAAGCGAGTTGCTATTATCTGCAATGGGCAAGGATTGCTTTTTTCGTGTAGCCTGTAATTAAAAAAGGAAGAAGCAGCAGTCTAAGTAGTTAAGCTCCTAAGTAGCACAATTTTAAACTAATGTCTGTAATGAGGGGAGGGGGAGTAGGGAGTCGCAAAAATCTCGCTTGTAAACTTACACTCACCATTTTCTTCGAAAATATATGTGAGTTCCACAAAAAGTATTAAGGTTTTAAATTACTTTAAAACGGTAACTTTAATAAAAGTAAACGAAATTTTTATACCTTAACAGAATAGTGTATCATAATCCTCAATCTACTCATAAGGAGCGATAGTACATAACTTTAAACACTTTAGCATTAACTTTGATTTTTAAACAATGAAAATGGACGAAATTTAAGAAACCGCCAATAAAACACAAAGAAATT